CTGTGTAAAAATGTGTCTCTAAATAAAACTTTGCCAAGTCGTTTTAGTCATGTTTTACGTATCCTGTTGTCTAATTACGTATACACGACTATTAGAACGTAGTATAAGTGCAAGTACACGTCTTTATTCCAATTATGTGGTATATAATACTGGAGGCGTAACAGATATATTTTGCATTTTTAGCCAGTAGTACACTATGGTTATAAACTACAGAGTCAAATGAGCACTTAATAGAACTCTCAACAACACAACTCCACTATATTAGTCAACATTTACTGGAGCCAATGCGATGAACTGGTGCGAAAGTAATCAGTGTTATGTTTGCCGTTGCAAAACCAGTTTGGGAGCTTAAGGACAAGACCTATGACCTTTGAACTGTACATACAGGCTGTGTCCTTGAAATAATTTCAGGTTCATTTGCTTCGATGTAAACATTGTACAAACCCAGTTGCTAGCGCTATATAAAGCCTAACTAAGTTCAACAATCTAGACTTTTGCTCCCTCCAGTTTGAACTTTAAAAATGTGGTTGTAAACGTTTAGGAAAAAGGGCCTGGCCCATAATCAACTGTTATTGTATGAGGCGTGACAATCTGTTCAAAATGTCACGGTGAGAGGGTTGATAGGCCCTCATGTAAATTGCCCCTTTACATAAGGGCCTATATAAATAACCCTCTCTAAACCGTGACGGTGGTAGATTGCGTGTTCCCGCCACTTTTGATGCACTCCTGACGTCATCACGCTTTTAAATTCCGGAGAGTCAGCGAGTGCATCACAGATCTAACGAAGGTTTTCGACTGAAAATTTATGGTGAATCCATTATTATATATTGTGTTTATTGACTTCTTCGTGTATTTTACACTAAACCAACAGCATTGTCATCAGCTTTTTTTCATAGACGCTGAATTGCGCATTTTATGCGTATTTACATTGCATATAAATTACTTTAAAACATCCATACAACTACATTATAGGAAATTAAAGAATATATAAAGGTTCTGAGTAAGCTAATATTGATGCAATAACTGACACTTGGAGATTTTAACAGGTATATTTGTTCTTTTGTTGGGAGAAAGCTTGAAATGTACAACTATGGATTCTAACAAATACAGATGTCAAACTTTCATTCCAAATCCCTAACTTGGTCGATTATCTTGCACTAGTTAAAAAGGAACTTTCAACAACCTTCTTAGCCAAACTGACTTGTATTAGAAGGTTGAAAAAAAACAACTGTTATGTAAAGAATATACATTGTAGATATTAATGTACTCCTGTGCGTCGCAAATTCTTAAAACAAAATTAACTCCTTTGATCTCTTCTAGTTCATTAATATTCACAAACGCGAGCTATCCGGCATGCGGGAAAATAAGTCTACGATATGCCAATGTGGAGCTTGTTTACGTGACTAAAGAAAAACGCTACCCAAAACAATACAGATGGCATAATATTCTGTCACTTGGTAATAATTTATAACACAAGTCAACGCCATATAGCGTTAACAAGCGTGCACTTTTTCTTAGTACAGTAGTAAAATAATAGGAAAATACACAATAATAAAGGGTTAATGCACCGCCCCGAGGTGTATATGGTGTCATAAATGCATGGTCAGCTGCTATAACCACCGAATAAACCACCGAGTGAGCGAAGCGAACAAGGTGGTTTATGAGGTGGTTATAGCAGCTGACCATGCATTTATGACACCATATACACCGAGGAAAAGGCGGTGCATTAACGTTATTATCATATAGCCTATCCAAACTGACACAATGAATCAACACAATTCCTGTTCAAAACATTAAACCTTTAATATTTACATAACAATACATTCCAAAATATTATAATCATGGTTTGTACTTTAAAATAAATATGGAGATCATTTTACAATAAATATAGTTTACAACTTTACACTTTAGAATTGTTTCTTTTGCAGCATTGCAACTGGCAACAGATCATTTTACAAGATTCTCTGAACAGCATGGCAACAAACAATCATGCTGTTTGTTTTTTAAACTTTAAGTTAAAGTGGAAGTAACATGGTACGTTAAAGTTCACATAACCGCTAAAAACATGCGACAACTGAGACATACATGTAGACTGCATATCGTAAAACCATTAAACCATCTAATGCAGCCAGCATGGTAACAAAGCATGTTGCGTAAGTACTTGCACTATAGTTGACTAGTAACTGTCTGATTCTCTGAACAGCGATGGACAACAAACAATCATACTGTTTTGTTAATTAAAGTGGAAGTAACATGGTCCGTTAAACTTCACATGGCCGCTAAAACATGCGACAACTAGGACATACATGTAGACTGCATTTAACCATTTAACCATCTACTTGAAGTGGAAGTAACATGGTCCGTTAAAGTTCACATGGCCGCTAAAAACATGCGACAACTGAGACATACATGTAGACTGCATATTGTACGAAGCCATTTCACCTGCTGCGGCACGTGGGTCTGGACCAACCTGCGAGTGCAACGTGGACTGAGGTTGGTGCGAAGCCGTCTCTCCTACTAGGGCTACTGCGGCACGTGGGTCTGGACCAACCTGAGAGTGCAACGTGGACTGCAGTCAGCTTCAGTTTATTAGTTTACCAGAGGTTACATCTCAGGTCATTTGACTTGCTTTCAGGTAGCTCTGGGACAACAAAATAATATACAATAGATACAAAATGGTGATACACAATAATAACAGTACATTGGTCTGGACCAACCTGAGAGTGCAACATGGACTGCGGTCTGTGCGAAGTCGTCTCTCCTACTGCGGCTACTGCGGCACGTGGGTCTGGACCAACCTGAGAGTGCAACATGGACTGCAGTCAGCTTCAGTTTATTTAGTTTACCAGAGGTTACATCTCAGGTCATTTGACTTGCTTTTCAGGTAGCTCTGGGACAACAAAATAATATACAATAGATACAAAATGGTGATACACAATAATAACAGTACATTGGTCTGGACCAACCTGAGAGTGCAACATGGACTGCAGTCTGTGCGAAGTCGTCTCTCCTACTGCGGCTACTGCGGCACGTGGGTCTGGTCCAACCTGAGAGTGCAACATGGACTGCGGTCTGTGCGAAGTCGTCTCTCCTCCTACTGCGGCTACTGCGGCACGTGGGTCTGGACCAACCTGAGAGTGCAACGTGGACTGCAGTCAGCTTCAGTTTATTTAGTTTACCAGAGGTTACATCTCAGGTCATTTGACTTGCTTTTCAGGTAGCTCTGGGACAACAAAATAATATACAATAGATACAAAATGGTGATACACAATAATAACAGTACATTGGTCTGGACCAACCTGAGAGTGCAACATGGACTGCGGTCTGTGCGAAGTCGTCTCTCCTACTGCGGCTACTGCGGCACGTGGGTCTGGTCCAACCTGAGAGTGCAACATGGACTGCAGTCAGCTTCAGTTTATTTAGTTTACCAGAGGTTACATCTCAGGTCATTTGACTTGCTTTTCAGGTAGCTCTGGGACAACAAATAATATACAATAGATACAAATGGTGATACACAATAATAACAGTACATTGGTCTGGACCAACCTGAGAGTGCAACATGGACTGCGGTCTGTGCGAAGTCGTCTCTCCTACTAGGGCTACTGCGGCACGTGGGTCTGGACCAACCTGAGAGTGCAACGTGGACTGCAGTCAGCTTCAGTTTATTTAGTTTACCAGAGGTTACATCTCAGGTCATTTGACTTGCTTTTCAGGTAGCTCTGGGACAACAAAATAATATACAACAGATACAAAATGGTGATACACAATAATAACAGTACATTGGTCTGGACCAACCTGAGAGTGCAACGTGGACTGCGGTCTGCCCGAAGACGTCTCTCCTACTGCGGCACGTGGGCCTGGAAGGTTGCCACATACTCCTTCAGAGTCACCTGTCTTGTCAGACGAGCCGAGAGCTGCCTCTAAAGCATTTGACATTCCCACTTTCTGACTCTCTGTTGAGTCGTGCGTGTATCTACGGATCGAGGACTCATTCCTGTGTCCAGATAGGCTCATTATAACTCTATTCTCGAAGCCGGCTTGGTCCAGCACCTGAATTGCAGTGACGCGAATGCAGTGGTTGGTGTAGTCTTGGCTCAGTCCTGCGGCTTGAGATATCTCTCTCATCATGAAGCCAATCTTGTTCACTCCTACTGGTTGAGCAAAGTACCACGGTGCACACGAGCCCGGTTTCCAATGTAGATTCGGCCGCTGAAACAGGAAAGGGCATTTTGCCTGCTGCAACTTACTACAGTACAGCTCAAAAGCCTGCACAGGGCAGGGACGTGCGTCGCTCAGACTTTCATAGAGTCTGGGTGTTGGTTGATCATCGTTTGGTAGGTCTCCGGGGTGGTTCTTTTGATGCTCATTGAACTTAAGTGTGTAATATCTTCTTCCTCCATCTGTTTTGGCAACAAAGTCACTGACCTTAAAGTTCCGCAGGTTTTCCCTCCCCGTCTGCACAGGTAGAACGCTATATAGAAGTACACGAGACGCTGAAGCGATACCGGACTGTTGACACTCAATGTCTTTGTCTCAAACATCTTCTGAATGTCAGTCAACAGGATAGGTTGGTGTGCTTTGGCAGTGTCCTTGCCCTCTCTTCTTAGCTTCTTTAACATTCCTGTGTACACGTTATTTGCTGCCTTGAATTCGGTGTCCTTCTAGGATGTTGTATTTGTCGATGGAAAGGGGTCCGTGTGAGATGACGGTGTATGGCAGCTCTTAGACATCCAT